TAACAGTGTTTACCAGTGGGATCCATTTATAAAATGGAGGTAATTTTCAAGCCCCTTGACTTTCAGCATCACTGTGACAACCAACTACCCAAAGAACCCTCTGTGCAATGAATTAAGATACTGGTTACCACGTAACATGCAGACACCAGTGCTGTGATTATAAGGTTTGGCTGAGCTTTCCCAACATCTAGAACTATACCTATTCTTCCATATCTTGGACAATTACACCAATTTCTATTACATGTCTATTATTATTATAAACCTAATTGACTTGAATATATCTCCTGACATATCAATTTCAACAGTCTTTAAAGTTTTGAAATAAATACTTAACTCCTGTTAGGCCTTCACATAGGCTGACTTAAAGACACGCTGTTTTGAATACGTAAATTTATATGGCAACAGCTGATTTAACATCCTGCTTCTCCCTTCGTCAAGACTCTCCTAGATAGCATGTAAATGAGCATTAAATAATCCTTATACCCAAAAATAATTTTTTTCTTGCTTCCAGTCTTGTTCACCTACTGAAAACAGAGGAAATCTTCTCTTGATTTTGCAGGCTTTGTATGACTAGACGTAAGAATGTGCTGGTAAGTAATATTTAGCACTGGAATCGAGCCCAGTTAAACATTTTCAGAAGAGCCCATGCAAAGTGCTGAGAATCACCAGTTTGATCAACCACAGATCATCTTCCTGCTTTTGTAATACACAACTTTAAAAAGTAGATACCGTCCATCTCTTGACACCGATGGACAGATTTGGTAACACTGTTCAGACATTTTAATCAGGAATGTTTACACTTGTTGCCTAAACACTGCCCAAATAACAGCAGACCATTTTAGAATCTAGTGATAATTTTATTTAAAAAAAAAACCTTTATAACTCATTAAGGTTGGTGCCAAACTTGGCACTGGGACCAACAGTTTGCCAAACAATAACAGCAGAGAAGTACAGCTTCAGGATGTCAAGTCGAGGACATTTAAACAGCTATGCTCAATATTCTGGTGTAAGACAAATTGAGCAAAACTGTCCTTAGCGTACAGAAAGCTCTATTGATCTGCCATGGTAAGTTTGCTTTATTACCAGTATTGAAAATAAGTCATAAACATAAAAGCAGCAAGAGAAAAAGTTGGACTGTTTGCAAGTATTTTCCCCCTGGTCTTCCTCTCTCCCTCCCTTCCAAGTTCTCTGTGGATACAGAGACCAAAATGTATACTGTGTGAGAATGTAAATCACATCATACATTTAAAATTAATTTTAATTTATGTACAGCAATTACCATTCATGAATGTTACAAAGTCCCTGCAATTACATTCCTTATAAGGTAAGTCTTCACTGATCTTTGTTGAATCTTCTGATGGAGAAACAGAAAGGAGAGGTGGAATCAAGGGGTAAGGAATGACCATGGTCATTAAACATTTTGGGAATTTGAGCAGTAAACCTCAGAGAGTCTCTATGACATTCCAGAAATAAATGGTGGCAACGTGTATATATTGCAATTTTATTTCATTCGCTCAAACAAAACGTTAGCATGTAAGAAATTTAAAATGACACAATATGATAAAAATAGCAGAGAATGAACTGAGAAACTAAAAAGAAGGTAAACCTAAATGCATGAAAAGTCAACATTCATTAGTGATCAGCTTCAGTCTTTGATTGACACTTGATGCTTGATAACTTTAAAACAATGAACTGGAAATCATTATGAACTATCTGAAGAGATTTCAGCACCAGCACTAAGATTTTTACATTCAGTTGGTTTGCGGTTGACTTGGTAGCCACTTGTCTGTAGTGCAGGTTTATCACAGGTCAGATCACAGTGTTGAGGAAAGCAACGCCCTCCTGGCATTAGAAAGGATCCCTTAAACTGCCCTCAGCTTAAGACATCCATTGTACAAAAGCACAGAACCACCACAATATGGTTTTTAAAGAACTTAGTCACCAGTAAGCAAAATAATCTTAGCTTCTGCAGTTCATTTTCAATACTGAAATCTCTGGAAACGGTGCAACTGTCAGTAGGTCAGGAAATGTCTACAGTAATCTTTAATTCAATCCGATTTCCTGGAAAGAACCAATTCTGCAGTTTGGGATTACAGAAAGTATGTATGTAGAAGCAGCACAAAAGACAACATCTGTTCCTTTTTCTTTTAAACAGAAATCATGTTAATTGTAGACCAAGGCACAAAACGTTTAGTGCATAAGCCAGTTCCTTGCACAATCTAGTAGTTCAGCCTTTAATTTTGGACCACTTGTACCCATTCACTATTCCACTATGCTACTCCTGAACTCTCCTAGAAACAAATCAAACGTGATTTCTGACAAGGGTAAACATCCTTAATGCTCAAAAAGTCCATGTAAAACAAAAAGTTACATCAACAAAGATGAAAATGCCTCCTCTTGTTTTGAGAAAAACAGTACTTGACAAGCTTACTATGGATTTTTTTTAATGCCTCCAATAAATGCATGCAGAAAAATGTTGTTGCTTCTCTTTATTTAAATAAAAAAAAATTAATAAATGGAGTTAGGTAATATTTCCACTGTTGTCATCTCTTAGAATTTGAACCTCTAGAAATAGGCAATGTTTGAACGGGTGAAAAATTTCCTACTGAAGCCTTTCCAAAGCTGTTAAGTGCTGTTTTGCTTTGGTGTTCAGCACTCAAGACGGTATGTTATGGAAAGCATTTGTTCTATGAATGAAGCTGCACATACATGTAGGCTGAAATGCTAATCTCTCCAAAAGTTGTAAGTAAACTTTTCTTTTTGATCAGCAGATCCCAAAGCAAACATGGCACTGTTACAGCTTGGAAAAATTGACCGTGCAAAGGAAAAGGAAAGATTTTGATCCATGTTCTTTGTCCAAAGCACTACAGATCCAATTGAAAGAATTTCTATTCCACTGAATTGTACCACATTAAAAAAAAACCCATAAAAAATTAAAAACAAAAATTAAATGCATAAGATCTGAA